TTTCAAGACCTTCCAAATGTGGCTTTGGTTATTTTTATGTGGTGGCGAGGAAGTAAAAGAATGTAAAAGCTTGAAAAAGATGGACAAGCGAGGCCTTAAGAACCGGCAAAGGTTCCACCAGAAAAGAGACTGATTTCCGTCACGGAATCTCCAGTGAATCTCATCCAGTTCTATTAGCGATTTTCCGCACCTTATATGATTATATTCAATTTACAGGCATCGCTTATTCAGGTATATATGATACTTGCATTTGGGAATTTAGATTTGGATAGTACAGCATGAACATTGGTAATGAGTTAATCGTAAGTCTCCCGCAACTGGGCTTTACTCATAGAAAAATCCATCGGCTGAGAGCTTAGAAAACTATAAAACGCTGCAAAGCTAACTTTAACTGACAGGTCACTTACCTCAGCTTTTCCTTTCGCGAGAGTCAAGAATCAGGCAGCAAAAAACTGTAATGCTCGACCGGCAGACATACCTTGCTTTAACTTGACTCAGTAGCCAAACCTTCCGCGAGTTACCACGAGCAACGAATTCAATCTTGGTTCTCCGCCAAAATATCCGCGTTCTTATATTTAGTGGATTTATATTGTTGACACAGTATATTAAAACACGACACCGTTTTGATGACACCGCTTTGACTCTTCCGGGGTTTTAGAACAAAAAAGTAGGGACTGACAGTAAATTCCTAATGTTTCTGATATATATTATATTGGGATATTTTTTCTCGCTTTAAATTTAGTTTTTGTATATTATATTTTGCGCATCTTAAAATATTTTCACACTTTTCAGTTATGCTCAAAATTTAAGCCGCGTCACCAGGCGCCCGTTCCACAAAACTATGATCAGTACACGTTTCGGTCCCGAAATCAACATCAAAATCTAAAGAATAGAAGAAGGGGTCCTAGCAAACAGACAGTTTTATACCTCAGACTAGTTCTAAAAAATTATCGGATTTTTCGAGAAACGGGCCGCTAACTCAGTCAAGGAGTACACAAGAGTCCCTTCGACTACTCCCTCATCAGAGAGGGGGTGTAAAAGTGCTCGAGCGCTTGTATCGCTGGGTTGAAATCATAGATTATTTTTATCCTACTTGGATTCTCTTTGTAAAGACATCTAGAAGAATGATATGAAAATGATTATTTTTCAAAGACACATGAAAAAACTCTCCAAAAATGTTGAGCAATACATTCAAGTTGTATTCAACCCACCACGTCACTAATACAGAGATTGAGTTTTATCCCGCTTGATATTAGTCCAGCTCTCGCCCTCAGATGAAAAAAAAAAAAAAAAAAAAAAAAGCATGTAGCATGAAATTAGTTAACGCGACATGTAGCCTATTTTTCGATTTGGATGCCAGAAAGGTCTTAAATAAGAAGGCACCTTAGATTTCCTGAGTTAGTCCTAATGTGCTCAATAGTGTGAAACTAACTAAGTTAGTCATTTGCCTTGACTAACGCTTGTAATGCGCCGCTATACGATATCATTCCGTTTACTCACGATGACTAAAGATATTTCTTTGTTTTTTCTCTGACCGTGTATGAGTCGAGTGGATATGTGTTCTGGGGATTAATTGTCCGCCAATGCAATTCCGGTGCTTTACTGGGATACTATTGTCCCTTAAGTGATCTTATATCGTGACTAAATGATTCAGCTGCATGAGCAAGTGCACCAAGTGGTTATTAAGTTTGAACCGCAGACCAATATGAACTTCATGTAATATCTCTTATTCAGGTAGGGATAGCCCGGAATAGCGCACAATCAATATTAATTAGGAAAGGAATATAGGCTGAACCAGAAACTCATGAGGGGTTGAACAACCCCTTTTGAGATATCAGCTTCTGGCTGAACATATTAGAATACACAACGTATCTCTACGAGCGAAACAAGACTTAAATTTTACCCTGCCTTTTGAAAAAGTAAGACTACTGAAGTAGTTAAAACGTATTTCGTGGCTGACAACTGGACTCTTGAAATCTATTAAAACCAAATCTAGCCTTTACCAATTATTCTAAAAAGACCTACTCAAGAGCATGAATCCAACTACAAGAAATTTAAAAATAAATTAACTCGTCTCATTCGTGTAGAAGGGGAAATTACTAAAACAGAAAATTAGACATGGCTAGATCAACTTTAAGTAAACTTGGAAAATTCTTAATGAAGTGATCAACAGGCAAATTGCTAAAGCACCATATCCTGCAAGCTTCTAGGCTACTACAGAAACGGAGTGAAAATCAGTAATCCTGTTGACATAGCTAATAACGTTTGCGATTACTTCACCAAATTAACTTCGGGTCAAATTTGTCAATTAAAATCTCGCCCACAAATTATTCGCTTAACGATTTCTTGAGTCGCTCTCTTTCTGAATCCACTTTGATTTCGTTGCAGCCACTAACGGTCGACGAATTAAGTAACATTGTTAAATCATTTAGCCTTAACAAGGCTCCTGGACATGATAATACATCCATGAAAATAATTTATCAGTCTCTTCAAAATATTGTTCAACCCCTTGTTTCTATAATTAACCTTTCGTTGTCTACTGGTATGTTAGTGAATCTCTCAAAAGCGCTAATTGGTAAATCCTGTTTTTAACCAACAATTTTTGGTAACTACAGGCCAATATCAATTCTTTCAGCTTTTTCTAAACGTTATCTAAACTTTATCGGCTCTAGCTTTACACCATCCTAGTCTATTCCAGACGCATGCACTTTTCCCGATTTTCCGAACGCTGCAATGTCTGGAGAACTCTTGACATTTAAAATGCATATGAGTAAATGCTGAAGACAGCGATCGAACGGGCTCGTTTCCAGGACAATGTTGGGAGTTGTTGCGTCCGTTTGTACGTAGCTAAAAGTTTGACCGCTTTCAAACTTAATTGCGCAACAACTCGCAACAACGGGCAACAACATCGGACAAAGTTGCGTCCGTTTGCACCGGGATTTAAGCAACCACAACGGCAACGGCAGAAAAAACTTCACTTGCATTGGAAAGCGAGTTCGTCCTGTTTCAAACTTTATAGGCTGCAAGTAAGCTCTCCTATTTGGGCGAGGGAAGCGAGCCGACGAGAACCGACGAGGGGCCAAGGAAAGGAGCTCTCCTTTCTCTCCCCCGCCCCCCGCTTTCGCGTGTTCCTCTCGCGTGCCTCTCGCGAATTTTGGCTGGTAAGATGGTCACCGAGAAATGAAGGTTTTAAAATAAGAAACGAGTGGGAAGACCGAAAGTCCTGAATAAAACCGCTCAAAAAGTTTTACAGAAGGCTAGGCACAAAAGAGGAAACCTGACGAGGTAGCTGTCACAACAGTTAGCAAGTTAAGTCTGGAGCAGGTTCATGAAAAACTGGTTTGGAGACCCCTGAGATGGCAAAAGAATACCTCTACTCAGTCCGCTAATCAACGTTCAGCTTGTCTCAAAGAGACGTGCAAAGCCTCACTGTCTCCGTCCGCTTCGTAGGATCACGGGTAGGAGAGAACCCTGGGAACGAGGTTGTAAAAAACTAGGAGCATTTCAAATAATTCTTAGTTGTTCATGATATAGTTATGTAGGGAACCCTTGAAGAAATTATAATGAATTGAGATTTGTATCTTCCGTATATGAGTCAGGCGGTTTCGTCTGAACGTTTAATTTCCTGTGATGCAATATCAAATAATTCAGATAATTGTTGGTATGCAGGCTGCATTTGTGCGCACATAAACTATATCAAATGATCATTTCAAAACTAAGCCCAAGCGAAGCGCTTCCATTGTTAAGTGACTCCTGTTTGGTTAAAACTTTCGTTTTACTGAGTGTTTTTTCCAGAACTGGTGGATACTTCAGCTTTTTGTCGCGTGAAGTTCGTTATCCTTCCTTCAATCAAATTCAAACAAGCTTGATAGTTTGACAATTCGATTTCTTTCACTGTGCTTTTAGTCTTCTGGAATTTCTCTTGTACACTGACTGTTCCAAAATCTACGTTGTTTTCCTTAACATACGTCCTTAACCAATACTGAGGGTCACTCAGGAAGCCGTTCTATATTCGTTAACCCAGTGAAAGAGAAAAACCACACCTGAACCACTTCGCCCCTCGGTTTATCAACTTTTCACCCCGACAGACCACACCTTAGCGGACGTCCAATTTGTCTAATCGACGATAATTATAATTTATAAACACAAATAAAAGACACAAAACTCTGTTACTAAGAAATCATAAATAAAACAAAATTTGAGAAAACACTAGTTATTTCCATGAACAAGTTTTGATAAAAACAAAACTGAATGCAAGGCTGGGCAATACGGCAAAGGGCTGTTTTATTTGAGGCCAATCAGTATCGGCTAACAAAATTAGCCTTCTTCGGGGCCAGAGCTACACTGAAAGGGAAAACTTAGCAGCTCCTAAACTTTGAACTTTACACGAGAGGTTAATAATAAACTAAAAATGAAAACGATGTAATTATTTACCCATCTATCGTGTTATCTATTGTTTTCATTTTTAGTTTATCATTTAAATTCAATTTTAGGAGTCTTTATAGTATTTTGGCCCTTTCAGTGTAACAGGGTGGCCAAGGGGGTGAACCTATCACGCATCACGCTGACCTTTTTTAGGCCATCACGCATCACGTAAATGAGGTGACGTGCAATTGCACTAAGTTACCATGGCAATATCTGAATCAGGTCCAGTAAATAGCTTTCAGCGACAGTTTTTGGTAGAATGGAGGGGAGCGAGTTAAATTGTAAGTGGGGAAAACGAGGGGAGATTAGGGTGAGGGCGAGGTTGCCCTTCCTTTTTCCCTCTCTAGTCTCCCCTCTTTTTTTTCTTTTTTTGTCATCAATTTTTTGTCAGCCTTCTGCTGTCTGAACGCCTGGAACAGGCTAAGAATACAGCGAATAGAGATCATACAACTGTACGATTTTGACAGGAGGTTAGGCGAGCTCGAGGAACGAAAAAAAAGGACCTGAATATAGGCGTCATGACTATCTGTTTTTAATTTCTGTGTTTCTAGTTTCAAATGATATTCACCAATCACGGAAATACAAAAGGGAAATAACGCGTCACGCGTTATGAAAATAGTAAATCACGCACCACTTTGCTAAGCCCAATCACGCCACACACGGCCCGATCACGCATCACGCTGATAATTTTGGGACCCATCACGCGCCACGAAAATACCCCTTTGCCACCCTGATGTAGCCCTGGCCCTGAGGAAGGCTAATTTTGTTAGCCGAAATATTTGCCTCAAATAAATTAGCTCTTTGCCGTATTGCCAGCCTTGAATTCAGTTTTGTTTTTATTCCCACTTCAAGTGACGTCTGGCATTAGCATCTCTACATTAGAGATCTGGCAAGAACAAACCAGTCGGTTTTATTTACGCGTTGAGTGGACCTCTGCAAAGCTTTTTATTAAGTTTTGATAAATTTATACACAAGATTTTCCGAGAGTATTTTGTAAGGAATTAAGTAGCCTAGGAAAGAAGGAAAAAATAACATTCAAAACCTTAGGAGAAATTTAATAACAGCTTGCGCGCTGAGGTGTACTGTTGACCAGTGCCAAAATCGGGACTTTCAGAAATAATCAATAATTTTCGCCGTGTTTGAAGGTTCTTTCTGACCTCAGGTAAAGGAAAGGGTAGGGATTTCTTTAGTAACAGTGTATGAAAAGGTGGGGAAATCTGTCATTTCAGTCAGCAATGTAAAGGGCTAACAGAAGGATTTTAAGGCTATTTGGAAAAATCGAGAAAACGTTCTACTGTGGATTTATTTATGTTTAAAAGACAGTGCATTTACAGCCGTGTAAAGGGATGCAAAGTCCAAACTAGGAATGTGAAAGGGGTTCCATTTGTTAATGGAAGGTATACGAAAGGGGTACCTTTTCTGCCAAAAATGGGTAGGGTAAGGGGCTAGTCCTCAGGGCGGAGTCTCCCCGTATAAACCTCTGTTGAGTACCTACCCCCCGGGATTACAAAAACGACAAATCACATCTTTCCGAGGATTAAACACCAACATCGGAAAATGGCTTTAACTTTGGGTTTATTTCTTATCTTTTACCAGCATTACAAGCATTTTAATTTCATTATTGGATCGAGCTACAGGAGATCGTTCGATTTACAGCTTAGCCCAACTGTGTAGTTATTTTTTTACCTTTCAAATCAGGGCAAATTTAATGAACCTCGTAATTTAGCCCTCGTCAAGCATTTGCTTTAGATGCATGCATTATTTTTTGCCTATTGTCACATTAGCGCTGACCTTAATGCGAAAGCGAACGCGAACCCGAACGCGAGCGCGAACGCGAGCGCGCAAGCCACCGCGAAAGCGAACGCGACCGCGAACGCGACCGCGAACGCGAGCGCGAGCGCGAACCCGCCGAACACGGACTCTAAATCCACGCTTTGTGTTTTTCAGGCTTGTGTTTTCCTTGCGGCCGTAGTTAAAAACGATCTTCACTCCCGGTTGACACTGCTTTGAGTTTTCCAAGTGCCTGTATCTCATCTCTTTGTTCAACCTGGCGACCATGTTAGATCCAAAAGGAACTAGGAAATAAAAGGGAAAGCAACGAAGTTTCAGCAATTATGAGATTTTTTTAATTGTGCATAAATTTATATTCTGCGAATCTTCGACTCTTTCTTTCTTTCTTTTTTTTTTTTTTAGAATAAAAAGTTACTTTTTTGGATTTCAAAGATCACCAGTTATGTTCTTGGTTATTTTAAGCTGTTTTTTAATGCTTCCGGCTTGTAGAAGGTATTTCTTACTCTTATGACAGTAGGGTAAGTTGTGGTGAATTTCCTCTATGTGTCGTAGCTTTAGCATTTAGATGATGTATTAAAAGGTGAAGTGACGTGGGTGAGAAAAAAAAAGAAATTGCACATATTCATACCAGACAGCTTCTTGCTTAAATCCTTTTCAACCTCCGAAACGTTGGAGCAATTTACTCTCTTGTAGTAGTAATAGGCTTGCTAAAAAAGGGGAAACGATTACTGGTAAGTAATAGAATATCTAACCCAGACAATTTGTGAAGCCGGTTAAAATACTCTGTAGATTGGGATGCATTTCAATGTACGTCATCTGTTTGCACTAATACTAACCCATAGTAAGGTGGCTCCAGATTCCTTGATTTTCATTTTACTAAAGACGTTCTGACTTATGTTCATGTCTGTCATGAGGTGCTTCATGAAGTAAAAAAAAATTCGCCACATTTCTTTGCTGTTCGCAATTCGAATCAGCATTCTGGTACTGCACGGAATCAGAGAAGTTAATTTGGGTGAAAGAACTAAATAGATGAGAGGAAGAGAGACCTTGAATTTTCCAGGTTTGCTTCTATTGTGTTCCGCCTAAAATATATCAGTTTATAATTATCATTTCTCTTACTGAAGGATTTTTATAATTTTTGGAAAGCTAACTTGTCACCAGAAAGAAAGCAAATACGCTATACAGTACTGAACATACCTGTCGGCGTGATTCCTTGGCCTTCTGCACCGTGCCGCTATAAACTATCTTCTTGTAGCCATGACTCTCAAGGTTTGCCCTTTCTAACCTTTCCTTCATTTCCGAAGCTCTGGAAGCTGAGATACGGAGTCTTGGCTTGGAAAACTTCAGTTCCACCGTTTCTTTCGTATCATTGACCTCTGTGAAGTTAAGAAAGATATTATCTGCATACAGTCTTGTTCGTTCCGCTAGATAAAGGAAATATAAATTGGTCTCAAAATACGGGCTTACGCCTGACGTACCGATAGCCACGGAAAAGAAAAACAAAGCCAGAAGGATTGACGTGAACGGCGAAATTGCCATCTTTCAATTGTCACTGGCAGTGAAGAAATAGCTTCCGTCAATGACAATATCTTTCGAGTCCGGTCTTGGCGAATAGTTTGTTTATACTGTCTCGCTTCAAACCGTAAGGGTTTGGTAAAAAATGCTTAATTTGTGCTTTCTTATAGCCATCCATGATGCCCAGCGGCTACTAAGGAACCAAAGTAATGTTGAGACTATTTAATGAACACGAAAAACTTCTTGAAACCCAACAAAGAAAGCAGAGAGCCTTTTTCAACCTTGATGTAAACAGCAAAATAAAAAAAATAATTTGTAGAGAATGAAATCGTGTAAATGATCAATCAAAATGATGAAAGAATTAACTCGTCGGAGAGCCATGATAAAATTATAGCAAAATGACTTTACATGTTAACAAAAAAAGGTTAATAAAAAGTAGCCAATTTAAATGAACGCCAATTAAATAGCATGAAGTTAAAATTTAACCACGTCAAAACTATTTTTTATAGTGCACCATAGTTACCAAAGAGTATCAAGTGTCTTCAGACACATCCATATCCACGCATGGCTCCAGAAAGAAAATGATAATGACACGACGAAAAGATCGAAAAAGAGAGCCGTTGCGTTGAGTATCCACAAAATGCAAGCAACTCATCAGTATGCACTCTCAACTGAGATGATTGACTACGGATGTATTGTATGGAATGAGTCACTGATGAGTATATACGGCTTTGTCAGTGACAAAACCACCCTTAAGGATTATTCTCAGGGTTACAATATGAAATATATGAAACATTCATTTAAGGGCTCTTGCCTTAATACTACACGACAGGATACAATAATAACTCAGATGTGTTTATAGTTTTAAGTTTGTATTTCTTTTTGAGGTGGTAGAGGCTGCTGCAAAGAGTCAATCTACATAAGTGACATAAGTTGTTTTCATTGGAATTCATTCCTGTTCATTTAATATTGCATCTTATTGTGACTTATACCGTTCACATGTGTATGCACCATTGCCCATAAGACAAAAAAGAAAGAAATTCAGACATCTGTTTTCCTGGTGGCATGCCGTTTGTTTCTCTCGGTTTTTTGTTTAGCTTAGATGATAGCCTGGACGATCTCTTGGTCAAAACATCCCACTTATAAAACAAGTGAAAAATAAGTAAACTCAGACATAAAACATGCGTTTGTCAATATTAGTGATGATTTGGGTAAAAAAAATCGCTATAAAAAATATGTAGTTCGCGGTTGAAAAAAACGTTATGGCAATTATAATCAGTTCCATCCTTATTAGCAAGTTTTCTGTTTGAAATTTTTACTGCAATCTGACTGTCAAATATGATTTATGACATAATTATATAATTTGCCATTAAGCAGAGAAATTAAAGTGAAAATGAGGAACGATCGATCTTCGCCGATAAATTAAAATTGCTATAAATACATTCAACTGCTCGGTGGTTGAAGGCGGAGTGGACTCCACCGATTCCCTATCAAAGATTTCTTATTACGCTTATGTATGTCTGCTTATGTAGATCTGGGATTATTCATTCTAAATGGTAGCTCTGAAAAACACACGGTGAGCGAAAAAAGAATATATCCTCGGCTCGACTCGCTTCGCTCGCCTGGGCCTAAGTTATTAAAAATTTTTTCTCCTAAATTTTTTGTGTTCGTGTTACTCAAATGCTTAGACTCATAAAGAGCAAAATTATGTACGCAGCTAAATACAATGATATTGGAAGCATTGAAGGCGCCCCGGTTTCCCGCTGAGTACTTATTCTAATTCAGTTATGTCTCGTATGGTAAAACAGTTTCCAATTTGATTTGGAAGAGTGCACTTTGATTTCGAACGAAGTTGGTCTAGCGTGAATGGTTTTAGAGTAAATCAAGAGCGAGAGAACTCCGACATTCTCTCTTTACAGCGGCACCCAACGATGGTTTCCTCCCAACTACGATGAAAACACTTTTTAGGATACCCGGAGTACTTTAAGATATCTAGAAATGCATTCTATTAGCGGCGCTAAAAACTTTTATCTGTTCGGTCATCCTAGGGGAACTTGAGTCCTTTCGAAACTACAAGGGCTTGAGTGTTATTTTTCCGAAAATGTTAGATGAAATTTAACATATTACGAAAGTAATACATTTTCTGATTCCTAACGCCTCACATTTTTTAATCCGAAAATTTTAGGTTACCTTTTATTCTACGAAAAATAGCCTAACTTGGGAAGCAAAATGTGAAAATTAAACTTCAGAAAATCGAAGGCAACTTATGCATACTGCATGCATTTCTGATCTTCTCACAGCAAAAACGGGTGGCCAAATGCATGTATTTGTATTTATTTTTTTACACTGCTTTCACAATCGTCGTTGAGTCTCCGAAAAGATTTTTATTTTACAAGTCGTGGAAAGCTGCAGCTTAATGAAAAAGGAAATGGCTCCTTTTGCTTATACCTTAAATGTTTCAGTTTAGTCTGGATACGTTCAATTTACATACGTAAATCCGTCCACTGGCTTTGAATGTCTGAGAGCAGACAGTTACGCGTTTCGATTCCTGATCAGCTAAAATCGAACAACAGGAAATTCTAGATCTCTCATGCACTCTTAAATATCAGGAGAGCGGCAATGACTCTGATCTTTTGCTGTTTGTTTTTCTTAATTATTGAAAACGGTAATTCTCAACTTGCATTAAACTTGGAGAATTATTTCAGTATATTGTTTTTTAGCAAAAACACTGCTCTAATAACCACGCGGTTCAACAAAGTTGAAGTTAACCTCTTATCCTTAAATTTACGGTATGACCGTTCAAATAAAACCTCTTCTAATCGGCGATGCGTTCACGAGAAACTATTTGTTTTATAAGTAACTGTTGAACCTGTGAAGGAAATCCTATATGATGTTACCATTAAAATCAGATGCCAATGTATTTCGGCCAGTATTTTACAAAAAGAAATCGGCCAGTTTGTTGTTTTTCTTTGATGTCACAGTTTACTTGAATTGAGGCACTAAGGCGTAAATATGGTTCAACAGTCGAAAGTGGAAAAAACAAACAGGAAGTTTTCCACGTTGTGTAAGTTAGCTAGAAATATCCGTCAGTACTAATATTTATACGTCTGCTTGAGAAAAGAAAATAATGATTTATTACACATAAACTGATAAGCACTTAAAAATATCGCACGTGGAAAATTTAAAAAATGGTTTAATTTATCCCTATAGAATTCGTTCCTAGCCTCTTGCTTCTCATTCGCCTAAACGTTATAACTCGAATATAACCGACATCATACGTGCCGCAAGCAGTTTTTGCCTTGAGGACTTGTTTAATGGCCGGGTTTAAGAGTTCATTATGGCTGACTTGCGAAAGAAAATCAAAATAGAGTGGACAGCCTGGTATTTGGCGCCTACATTTCCGTACCATTGTAAAAAAGAAAACAAAACCGGACAATTTTACTTAATTCTCTTTTGATCTTTTGATTTTGAAACTAATTAGCCCGAAATGTAAACCTTGGCAATTTCAATGTGAAGTGCCATGTGCAAGTCAGTCAGTTTAACTTATAATTACAATGCAATTCGCGGTTGAGATCACTAACAAATAATGAACCAATAACAATGTTTTTAAAAGGTTTTGTCAGTCAGATTTTCGGTGATTTCTTGGAATATCAGACCATTTTATTAAAACTCTCATTCAGGTTTTGATTTTTGATCACTCGGATATCATCTGTTAGTCTAGATCATTTCTTACTACGTAATTAAACAAGGCATCCAGTCAAAGTCCCTATCTATACCTATACCGAAAAGTATACCAGCTTGTGAAGGATTGAATGTTTTAGTCTTGAATTATGCTGGTTTGACATTCTTTGGAAATGCCTGTAAAACTCGGCGATACATACATGTATCACATGGGAGTCCGGCATAACCCCACTTCCCCTCTTTCACTTTACCCCTCGCTTTAATACTCCTGGCGATTTTTATCTCCCTTCCCTCAAACGGAGATCCTGTTAACGGGCTAAAAATTGTACAGTAGTGACGTTAATTTTTCCGTGATCATTACGAAATAAAGTGAACCGCTATTTGACATTTTCCCAAATAATTAAACAAGGTCATTACTTAATTAACAATTAGTTCATGCGTCAGCGTGCGTATGTCGAGATATTGAGCACGCGGGAAGTTTGGAGAGCACGAAAGAGGCGTAAGAGTTGCACGAGGCGCAGCCGAGTGCAACTCTAGCCTCTTGAGTGCTCTCCAAACTTCCCAAGTGCTCAATATCTCGACATACGCACAGCTGCAGCATGAACTAATTGTTTTATAACATTATCAAAGCGGTCAATGCAACAGTTAACTTAAAATTTTATTATTGTTGGGCGCGCTCAAAGCAGTACGCGTCAATGTTTACGTGACTATATATTTTTTTTCCTCACAGTTAATCTTGTGTTTTTATCCTGAAACTGAGAGAAAGTGTACTCTAAAATGATTGTAAAATCCATATTTAGGTGCCGGAAAACTTTTAATTTACCGAAAAATTGCCATTGAGAGAAAACAACTTTGCAAAGAATGATCTCACGCCATAGCCCGCACAGCTCGCGGAGATCACAACAACAACAACAACACTCACCTCTTTTCACTACTATCGGTTAACAAATTCAAACGTTTCCTCTCAAATTTCCTTATAAAACACATGGTAAACGCGTCATTGTCCATTGCTGAGTTATGGATGCACTCAGGAGATTCAGGATTGCTAAGCTCACAACAACTCGAGGAATTACGAATAGTTTATTGACGTCATCAGCGTGCTCAATAGGAATATGAAGCACGCTCGCGCTATTGAATTTGATTAGGCGAATTTTTTAGCTATGTTATAAAAGCGTCCTTTT